TTCAGTGTAGTCCTCTCATGGGATGAAAAAAATGTCTCTTTATTGGACTAGTGGACATAGACCAGCCTCAGAGGAGGTATTCAGAAACTAACCAGACAGGGCATACCTTCAAATTCACATATAAAATGGCGGTCATAAGGTGCCAGTGTATAAAAAGATGTTCCTGCATTCAACTGGATTGAGTGAATGATTTGTAAGAAACATTTAGAACCAATTATCAAAGGAACTCAGATATCTACATAATGTATGCACAATTCTGCCAAGACCACAGGAGGCAGACTCTCAACAGACACCCCCCCCCCCCCCCATCAATGAAACAATCAGGCAGAATAGCCTGTCTTGTTCATGCCAAAGAAAGATATGTGAGACCTTTGCATTATCCCTGAAGGTGGCAACGTGCGGAGGATTTTTGGAATGCTCACATTCTAGAAAAGGGGCAGCGCGCAAGGAAATGGAACGAGACAAATCTGAAGCCATCAAATATCTCGCCAGTGATGAACCTAAAATGGCGCATGTTTTCTATGGATCTTCAGCTTGTGCTCCTTACACTTACACCCAAACTGAATGCATCAGCCTTATATTACAAAACAAAGCGTGCCGTTCATAACTTTACGATATTTGAAGCTCCAACACATCAGGCTACTTGTTACGTGTGGCATGAAGCAGAAAGGGGAATTAGTAAGTAAGCTTGCTTCATGTCTACTGGCGTTTTTGAAGGAAAAGCTGTACTTCCAGAAAACCATCATCGACAGCGACCGCTGTGGTTACCAATACAGAAATGCCACACTAGCTAATGTCTCTCTCAGCCTGTTTGCAACAACATATGGTAGCACAATTGAACAGAAATGGTTGATCAAAGGACACACAAATATAAGTTGACTGTACACTCAACTATTGAAAGATCAGTTCGAAAAGCACGAATCGAGGTCGCCCTAAACTACATGTATCTCCATTTCTTCAGGATGGCCAGAGAAAAACCAGACATTATTCTAAGTGAGGAAGTTACAAGTCTATCAGACCAGGCAGAAAAACGGGTCATCCTGTTGTCACCGACATCAGGTGTTTGAGGTACACCCCAGACATGAACATCCAGTTCAAGCTGCTTTTCAGTGATGAATGGGTTTACGTTCCGAAGGCAGAACACAGAAACATGACTTAAAATCCAGCACTCCCAAGTACAACCCCCTTTACTAGCTTGAATCTGTTATTTCCAATATACGTCATCACTTTATGACAATTTACGCCGTTATCATTAATGGCTATTCATAATGGGGGGGGGGGGGGGGGGTTCAGTCCCAGACATCGTACTGATCTTTTGGGGGGTTTTTTGTCTGCACATACGTTATGTATTTTCATAATTAATCCAATTATTATTCATGACACACAACCTATTATTTGATTGATCTTCCATTCGTTTTTCGAAGCATTTTGTGGCGTGCTTTCGTGTGCATGTGTGTATGTGTGTGTGTGTGTGTGTGTGTGTGTGTGTGTGTGTGTGTGTGTGTGTGTGTGTGTGTGTGTGTGTGTGTGTGTGTGTGTGTGTGTGTGAGTGTGTGTGTATTACATTATTTTCTTAATAAATTTAGTAATGGACTGACACAGTAAAACTTTGAAAATCATGTCTATATTTTGATCTAGATCTATTTCTTACCATTGTAAAAGCCATCTGCAGTGCAACCAGAGACCATATTGCAGAGATATACTATTCATTTGTGCCTTTTTGTAAAATGGAAGTAACCAGATCTAATCCTGGAAAATTATATTGAAACAGATTGCACAAATCGCTGATCCATTTGAGGTTTCAAACCCAAATTCTGCCGATAACACACATTTATTTGACTTCAGTTGGCCGGGAATCTAACTCTAAACTAATTGGTCTTGAAGAAACATCTTCATCACTTTGTTGCGTTCCAAACTACAAATGCATACTGCAACCAAATGAGCTGCGAGAAAACTCGCAAACCTCAAACTCTGTCCTGATGAAACCTCGCAACCCTCCCGCCGGCTGATTACGAGGTTTCATCACGACAAAAATGTTGTAATGAAACCTTGCATCCCACAGCATAACCATTTAAAGAATAGAAAAGGGGATTTCTTTGGTCTAACCAAGTTTCAAAGGTGTTTTCATTTATCTGTACCAACTTTGGTTCATATAGATCTTTTTGTTCACGAATAAATCAGTTTTTTGTCTCTCCTGTAAAATTTTCCTTTCTGGGGTTGCGAGGTTTCATCACTCCACCAGCGATATACTTGTGGAAGGAAGCATATAAAAAAACTTTCACATCACCGTTGACGAGATCTTTACAAAACAAAAACGTTGAGAAAACAAACAAAATTCACTGTACCCACAAACTTGTAACATGTCCTTATCCATTTAATAAAGACTTAGACCTTGAAAGTGATTGGCCAGTCAAGACTTTCATTGGTGGCAGCAGCCGTTAGTGTCAAAAGATATAAAAATGTGAACTATAGGTATTTTAGTGTTAGAGATGAAAATGTGACCTTGAACCTTTTTCTGGTGATTTTATAAAAGATAAATGGTCTTGCATGCACACAGCAGAATCAGTGTGATACAGAAATATTTTTGTAATGTTCAAATTTTATTATGTTTAGTTTTAGTTTTTTACATTCAAAGATATATATCGCTAGCCGCGTGATTCAACCGCCTAAGTGACAAAATTTTCAAAAATCACTTTTTGATCCCTTCATGCAGTACAACCTTTGATACACCTTATGTTAAAATCCCAAGTTTGAAAGATTGCTGCAAAGGGTTTCAAGCCTTCAGTAAATCACCAGTCCTCAATTTCCACATGATTCAACCACCCAATTGCCAGTTTTACAGCCCGGTGGCAAATGGGCGGTTCAATCACGCAGATTCAGTGGCTTGTTGAGGTGTTCATCTATCCCGTAGGCGGCGTGACTGTGGCCTTTGTCAAAACAGATTGGACGGTAACATCAAAACAAAGAGCTGCCTTTGCTAACTTCGACTCAGATCGAACGCTATCAATAGGCAGAAGATTCTGTCAAGGCAGTTTGAGTAATCTATTAATAGGATTGGTAGTATAGTTGAGAAAGGGCAAGATGGCATCAAAGAATATGTTAATACTGACTTGACCAAGTCGGAAAATTGTTGCAAAAGCTACTGACGAATGAATTTTGTAAAAAGTTTACGATTGATAGCTAACGGGCGCTTATTTCACATTCCATACAACTATTGGAAAATATTTTTATCGCGACTTTACGCGTTTCTTACTTTAAGTGTGCGCCCTTTGCTGTGTCTGTCGTCGTGTACAATTCCTCAATCATTGATTAATTAATTAGTGCCGGGTAGATGATACTTAATTTGTCACCCGCAAAAAGGCTACTCATAAACATATTCTCTCTTCAACAAACATTCTACCTATCAAAACAATGAGTTTGTAAACAACTGCCCTAACACAGTGGTTATTCATGACTGTTGCAAAGACAGTTTACATGACTTGGGGGTGGGAGCTCCACGATTGTCAAAAGTACCAGAGAGCAGAAGAGGTGATAACTAATTCTTCAACAAACCTAATGACATTGCTTTCCCATTACTACAGACAGAATACAGGCAAAATTTATCTTTACTAAAACTTTCAAAGCCTCAGAGGACTTTATAGAGAATACCAAAGAAAACCGAATGAGTCACACATTGTCCCAGACGACTTTAGAGAGATAATAAAAAAAAGCAACCTGCTGTTGTATGTATGTCGGAAGGATCAATGCCATGTACACAAGGTAGGAGAAAGAATCTAACATGAAACTTGCACAAAACACAGTGTATTGGACCAGATTATGTCTAGTGTGCATACACTTGGAAGCGGATTTGTTGTTAGTACGGCGTTGAACGCATCTGCTACACTATATCATGACAGGACCGAATTGGCTGTCTATATTTTTATAAGATTTGGTAACCAAAGATGTGAAGTGCCAAGTTTGGCACGAAGGAGAAGGACCATTGATTGCCAGTGAATTCAGTTACTGAAGGAGCCTACTGACAATAAATATGTCACTTTCATCATATACAGAGGTGGAGGTACTTATCAAACCCCAACGCTATGTTGCCAAATGCAATCGGCGACATTAAAAATTAGTACCAGATAGGACAAAACTGTTGAACACAAATACCTTGAAAAAGAACACACGCAAATGGAAGAGGACAGACCACACAGTGCAATCAAAAGGTCCCTGAAAAATGGTATGGTCTATGTGCATGGATAATAACGTTTTTAAGAAAGTAAGACAATATCAGCCCCCCCCCCCCCCCCCTTCCACCCTTTTTGATGCTCAATTTCAGGACCATTCAGACCTGGCTGAAACAAAAATGACCCCGTAGCCACAAACGTTTGTTGCCTTTGATACACACTGAACAATAACATCCAGTACAAATTGAACATTAAGATGAACGGTCTTTTTTCCAACTCCATGAGGCCAAAAACAGTCCTGCCCCAGAAGACCCAACCAAATAACAGAAATAATTACTCTCTACTTTATAATTACTCTTACATTTATTTTGCTTTTGTCGATAACTCAAATGGCCTTGATTATAGTGATTCAAACGCCTAGGCGCCGTCATACTATCACTTAGGCGGTTGAATCACGCAGATTTTGGTAGGTTTTAACCGCCTATGTCCAGTAACTTATGAAAGAAAGCTTTTTTTTTCAAAGTTGGTTAGAGACCATAATCTGAATTTCGAATTTATAGGTACGAGCATAATGAAATAAAACAGTTTTTTGCTTCTCCTGAAAAATTTGTCTCTTGGCACTTAGACGGCGTTGAATCCCGCGGCTAGCGATACGTAAGAAAAAAAGCGGGACCTGAAAACTACAGTATAACACAGATAGCATGAATTCATCGGGACCGGCCTCGGAAGTACGAGGGATCCATAGTTCGAAGTATACGTGAACAGCGTTACGGCATCAGCCGTGTCAGAGAATCAAAGGAAGCAACAAAGATTGGGTTGGAACAGAGATTTTTCTTTTTTAGGCCATTGTCCAAGATCAGATAGGTTAGACCTATGCCTATTGACTTGAATTTGAAATCTGAGAGAATTTGAAATTGATAGATTGAGAATGAGAAATACGATGAGCAATGCTTTCGAGTTCCATCGATAATAAGCCTACCTGCACCAAGACAGTATAATTGCACAGGTCAGTGTGAGCGGTCTTTAATTAATTAGCACTAAATCAAAGTGCTTTTTCAAATTTTTCAAAACACAAACATTTTGTCAAGATAAGCATATCGCAACAGTGAATCAGCAACGCGATGATGAAACAATGCAGCCCTACCTCGCCTCTCCCACCAAGCACATCGTCCTTTGCAAAGAGGGGTGGGGCAGCTGATCATGTAATGCACAACCCCTCCTCTCGCCCACTCCACACAAGCCTAGCTAGGCATGGGACCTAGGCATGGGCAGAGGACAGACATGTCAAGAAGCGGGCTAAAAATAGCACAGCTAACTGCTTCGGTGGAGAGGGGGGGGAAGGTGGTATTTTACCGACCTTCCTTTTTTTCTGTTTTTACTATTATTATTTTGTCTCAAGTGCACCTCAAAGGACATTGACATTAGACCTCTACGGCAGCGTAATTAGTTCACCTATTCCATGTTTGTGTTTGAGCTTCGCGTAATTTTCTTGCAAAGATAAAGAAGTATAAAAAAAAAAAAAAGAGACCGCAGGCACAGTTCAACAGATGCACGATTTCGAGTCTTTTGTGTTCAACCTATCCGGGTTATAGTACTGTAGTTTGCTTTGGGCATGTTTGGTAAGTGTGCAAGACTAAAAGGGGGAGAAAAATTAGATAATAATAGTCACCTGCGAAGGATTGATATTTTCAGGGTAAAAATTATGGATCTTTTGGAGATCTTCCCCCTGACAAGCAGCCTCAATCCAACATTCTTTGCCAGAGAATCCACCTTGGAACTGGACGTGAATTTCGCTGACGCTGACCTCCTCTTCAAATTCTAGTAGAATCCACTGGGGACTACCCTGAAGAAGAAGGTAAAACAATTATTCAATGTAAGCCAAGACCCCACTTGTACTTTCTCTTTTAAATGGATAAACAAGAACACGAAAAGGTAAATTCTCATTACATAAAAAAAAATTTTTTGTGTGAGCATAGAAAGAAAGCAAAAACTGAGCAAGCTGTGACTGCAGGTGCAAATTTCCTTCCTTCCCCCACCACACACACTTAGTATGTAAACAACACTGTCCAGGTTATTTTATATTAATTAATATTTTATGATAACACATATTACTAATTAGACAGAGTCAACAGGTAACTACTTTTTATAGAGCAAACAAAAGTTACCACTCAAATGAATGAATAGAAACAATTTGATTCCATGAAACTATGTGATCAATTTGATTTACTTTTTTGATATTTCATTTTCAAAATATAAAAAGGTAAATGTGCCCAGACATAATCGTACCTGATCAGAATTCCAACACGTTTCGTCATCACCATCAAATAAAAACTGCTTCCCAAACTGCTTTACATCTCTGTTGAGAACAGAACTTACTCTGTGGGGGAAAATAAAAGAAAAGGTCAAAAGCTAAAAAGAACTACTGTGAGTGCTCAGTCAGCATGAGTGAAACGGTTTTTGTTTACTGTGCTAAAGCTGCCTTGATTTGAATTTAACATTGAAGTATCAGCCTCTAAGTAATACAACCTTCGACTATTGTAATTCTTCTTTCCCATTCCTAAACATCCTCAAGTAGCCTTTTTCTGAGGTAAAGTAGACCCAGTATCTCATTATATATTATAAGTGTTATACCCTCTCTGATAAGCTGCTCACATCATAACTTACAATAAATGAGAGAATCCCTTTACTGGTCAGGTCATTCTGATCTAATTTTCTCAACACCATGGTGGACATAGAGCTGAAACTGTCCAAGACGACCAACCACTGTCTAGAAGATAATCGGTCATCTTATTAGACAAGGAGTTCTCTCAGACTGTGTCACTATCATCGTCATCATAATCAAGTGCCATAATATCTGCGGAAGGCGATCATGGTTCTCCATTCATTCTTTTGCTCGGATGCTCTTAAAAAAAGCTACATTACCCTTATCTTTCCCCGTTACCCCCATCTTTTTAGGTGCTCCAAGTACGATGCTCTGGGCCAGCCCCTGTCTCGTTTTCCTTCAATTTTGCCAGTGAGAGCTAGTTGTTCAAGTTCAAGCCTTTTATGTCTATTCAGGTGTCCCAAAAACAGCATACGTTTTTTCCTAATTGTTTTTATCAATAGCACAAAAAATGTAAGATTACAGTTTCCTTGCACACTCAAGCTTTAGAAGTCAGAAAAACGTTGGCAGACATTTTCTCGATAATTTTACCTCTCAACCACACGTACCAGACAACCCTAAGCGTAAATCGCAGGTATATATCTTGACTTCTATTCAAGACAGACAAGTATTTTTTCAACCAAAGCAAGGCAAAGGAACAGACTTAAAATCATATAGATTATTTTAAAATAACTCCTAGTGGTGATGCGTCTATTGTCTATATAATCAGATAATCACCTGTTATATAGGGCATGAGGTGGGCTACCCAGGAAGCGAGATGGATAAAGGGCATAGTATAGACCCTGACCCTCTTTAATGGAAAATTTCAGTGTTCTTTATAGAGTCAAACCTGTGTAAAACGGCCATCCATTGTCAAGGAGAAAGTGGCCATATAACACAGGTGGCCGTCTTAGGCAGGACTGGTCAAAATGAAGAAAGCAGATCATACTCTTCTGAGGTCTAAACAGGGGCTGATCTCAGACTTTAGACTGCCATAATAAGACTAATTCAAAAGGATTTTTGTTTTCTTATGAAAAAGGGGGGGGGGGGGGGGTGGTGTAAGACATTTTTTTTGTGTTTCTGTTTTGTTGGTTTGTTTTTTGGTACGGAGTGTCTACGTACACGGTAACCGGGCACCTTGTCTCAATATCTACGTACACGGTAACCAGGCACCTAGTCTCACCTGGTCTCAGTATCTACGTACACGGTAACCGGGCACCTAGTCTCAGTATCTACCTACACGATAAACCGGAAATAAATCAATATTTTGTGGTGTGCTGAAAAAATAAGAAAGTCATAAAAGCGTCTTGTCGGGCTCGCCATTGTGACCGGTCAGTGCACCTGTGCGTGCGCATCACATTGTGAGTACCAGTTGGGGGTCACCCAAGTTTATTGAAAGCCTGCGCACAGCGAAGTATAGGGCTCCGGAATGGGGGGGGATTATTGATTTTTTTAAAGGTACAGTCGGGGGAGGGGTGGGGATGAAGGCAACACTGGATTATAACAAAAACTGAACTTGGGAGTTCTGAACTGCCCGGTTACTGTGTACGTGACACTGAGACTACGTGCCTGGTTGCCAGTTACCGTGTACGTACATCCTCCGTATTTGGTAAGCTTTCTTTTTGTTGCTGATTTTGTGCAAGGGTAAAATAAACGGAATATTCATGTAAGGAAGACGATGAAGACCGAGTGCCATGGTAAAACAAAAACACGGGTTGGTACCACTCGGAGTACGAGCGCCGCTTCTCTCGCAAGTTCATGTCAACGTCCAGTGTTATTTGTTACAGATTAGGTAAACAAAAATGAAACTGGACCATATAGGCTGACCTTCTCACTCTGGTCAGGAAATGCAAACTGGGATGTGTATGGACACATCACCTGTTCATCCGGCCTTGCCAAGATGATCCTGCAAGGCAGCGTCTAGGGGAAAAAGAACAGAGGCAGACCTAAGATTTGATATTTTACAGTTCGGAGTGTCTTCGTACACGGTAACCGGGCACCTAGCCTCAGTGTCTACGTACACGGTAACCGGCAACCGGGCACGTAGTCTCAATTTCATGTACACTGTAACCGGCAACCGGGCATGTAGTCTCAGTGTCACCAGAGACTATATAATTAAATACTCTCTGGGGTCACGTACACGGTAACCGGGCAGTTCGCAGAACTCCAAGTTCAGTTTCTGTCATACGGTGTTGCCTTCATCCCCACCCCTCCCCCGACTGTACCTTTTAAAACCATCCTGCAAGGCAGCATCCAGGGGAAAAGGAACGGAGGCAGACCTAAGATTCAATATTTTACAGTTCAGAGTGTCTCCGTACACGGTAACCGGCAACCGGGCACGTAGTCTCAGTTTCACGTACACGGTAACCGGGCATGTAGCCTCAATATCTACATACACGGTAACCGGCAACCGGGCATGTAGTCTCAGTGTCACCAGAGACTATATAATTAAATACTCTCTGGTGTCACGTACACGGTAAACGGGCAGTTCGCAGAACTCCAAGTTCAGTTTCTGTCATACGGTGTTGCCTTCATCCCCACCCCTCCCCCGACTGTACCTTTTAAAACCATCCTGCAAGGCAGCATCCAGGGGAAAAGGAACGGAGGCAGACCTAAGATTCAATATTTTACAGTTCAGAGTGTCTCCGTACACGGTAACCGGCAACCGGGCACGTAGTCTCAGTTTCACGTACACGGTAACCGGGCATGTAGCCTCAATATCTACATACACGGTAACCGGCAACCGGGCATGTAGTCTCAGTGTCACCAGAGACTATATAATTAAATACTCTCTGGTGTCACGTACACGGTAAACGGGCAGTTCGCAGAACTCCAAGTTCAGTTTCTGTCATACGGTGTTGCCTTCATCCCCACCCCTCCCCCGACTGTACCTTTTAAAAAATTAATAATTC